ATATATATGCACACACACACACGCACATACACACCTATCTATCTGTTTAACTATATCTATCTCACTAGTTATTTGTCTATACATACACACACATAAATTATTTATATATATATATATATATATATATATATATATATATATATATATATATATATATATATATACATATAGATATTCAAAACAAACACACACACTCACACACACACACATACACACGCGCACACACATACACACACACACACACATACACACACACACACACACACACACACACACACACACACACACACACACACACACACACACAAACACAAACACAAACAAACACACACAAACACAAACACACACACGCAAATATATCACAGGGCTGTGCCTAGATCACACGAGGAAAGGTCGGTGCTGAGGCACATGTAGTCAATTAGTCAAAATGCACACCCCTTCCGCCTCCTTAATGATTCAATCAAGTTCTCTGGGGACAAATAACTGAGACTCACGCTTAGTAAGGGGATAATACAGCCACGACTCTATCCTCTGGTTGGCTGTGTGGATGAGGAACGTGTTTGTGTGTTCTAGGTGTGGCCTTTGGTGTTTGATTTTGTTTATTTATTTATTTATTTTTATTCGTCTTTATTCTTTTTTTTTCTTTCTTTCTTATTTGTATGTTTATATAGATTTTTTTTCTTCTATTTTTTAGTATATGTTTTTCCTTTTTTTCTTGTTTCTCTTTTGTTTTCTTATTTTATCATAATAGGATATACATATACCTATCCTCTTTTCATTCCTCGCACAGAATCCCGCTGTGTATGTATATGTCTCTCTCTGTCTTTCTCTGCCTCTCTCTCTCTCTCTCTCTCTCTCTCTCTCTCTCTCTTTCTCTTTCTCTCTCTCTCTCTATCTCTATCTCTCTCCCTGTCTATCTCTCGTTCTCGGTCTTGGTTTCAGTTTCAGTTTCAGTTTCAGTTTCAGTTTTAGTCTCGGTCTCGGTCTGTCTCTCTCCATCTCTCTCAACCTCTCTAAATATCTCACGTTTTCACTTTGAAAAAAATAACACTCGGAAATGGGTCTTTCAATCTGTCTGTCAGTCACTCTGTCTGCCTTTCGACTTTAATATACACATATATCCCTCTCATGCACAAGCATATATATATACATAAACAGTATCCATGTGCTTGCAAATACGCAAAATGTATCCAAACTTAGACACATCAAAATTTACAATTGAAATAATGCTGGATGCTGGCAGCTGTGGAGAGGCATTAGCAAGTTTTATTGAGGAGGGGCGGTGAGAGGAGGAACAGAAGGGGGGGGGGGAGGGTTTAACTGGGCTGGTCTTAAGTGCAGGGGGCGGGGCGAACTGGGTGATAAAAGGGGGGAGAGATAAACCGGAACGAGTGGGCGTGGTTACCTTAATGAGAGGCATAAAAAAGAATGAAGAGGTATGGTCTTCACCTGGAACGAAAGGGGGCGTGTCTCTTCGGGTCTTAGGGGCGGGGCTAATAAGGAAGAGAATCGACCCATGGCCCATAATTAGGGGTAGGAAAGGGGCAGGGCTTCCATAATTAGGGGTAGGAAGGGGCGGGGCCAGTATGGTTAGGGAAGGGAATGGGCGGGACCACTACGGTTAGGGAAGGGAATGGGCGGGGCCGATGGTTAAGGAAGGAAAAGGGCGGGGTTACTTTGATCAGAGAGGGGATGGTGCGGGGGGGGGGGGGGGCTTCAGTCACCTGGAGGAGGGGTCAGACAGAAAGGGGGGGTGGTTCTCTCTCAGAAGGAAAGAGTGGGGGGGGGGGCGGGTGTCGCGGAGGGGGGAAGGGAATTTCCAAAAAAAACAAAGGAAAGTCAGGTAAATTATATTAATAATGACAATAAAAATGATAGCTTGGGTGAGAATGGAATAGGAAAGGGTGATGAAGGGAGGAGAAGAAGGTAAAGGAGAGGGGTAGGGACAGAGAAGGAAAGAAGAAAAGGGGAAGAGGGAGAAGGAAACAGAAGGATAAGCAGACGGCAAGGAAGAGAGAACGGAGAGGTGGAGAGAACCAAGGAGAGGGGAAAGGGGAAAGGAGAAGGGAGAGAGAGGAGGGTCCTTAGTTGGGAAAGGGTGGGGGAAGGAGGGAAAGTGAGAGAAAGGGAGGGAGAGGGAGGGAGAGAGAGCGGGAGGGAGAGGGAGGGAGTAGGAGAGAGAGTGAGGGATAGGGAGGGAGAGTGAGAGAAAGGGAGGGAGAGGGAGGGAGAGAGAGCGGGAGGGAGAAGGAAGGAGAGGGAGGGATAAGGGAAAGAAAGGAGTGTCCTTAGTTGGCAGAGGAAGGGAGAACGAAGGAGAGGGAGGGAGAGGGAGGGGGGGGGGGGAGAAGGAGAGCCTAACAGGGAACACAGCCTGCGGTGTCACATGGCGCGTGGGGCCGGATCCAACTACGGGCGTTGCCATAAATAGAAGCGGCAACTGGGGGTCCGTGACATCCATAAACTGGAAGAGTGTATATCCGTGTTGTGCAGAGTAGCAGAGTCGGGAGGGGAAAGACCACAGCATTTCCAGTCACAATATGGAGTTTGCCTTAAATCCCGACGGTGCATCTTCTGCAACTGACACGCTTGCAGTGTGCAAAATAAAATAGGGCACAATGCTGGGTCGTAAATTGTGAAGAGATATAATGAATGCGGGGAATAGATGCTGCTCTGGAAATTAATTTTCATGGTCTGATATTTAAGAGATAGGCGCTGAATGGAAAGAGAAAGAAAAGAGAGAGAGGGAGAGAGGGAGAGGGGGGGGAGAGAGGGAGAGAGAGAGAAGGGGAGAGAGAGAGAGAGAGAGAGAGAGAGAGAGAGAGAGAGAGAGAGAGAGAGAGAGAGAGAGAGAGAGAGAGAGAGAGAGAGAGAGAGAGAGAGAGAGAGAGAGCCACATACATAAAAACAAATTGCATGGAAATATCAATACTTGCGTGTTTATCGAAGATAATGAATTAATCGGAAAACAATTCATTAGCATAATTTCAGACACAAAGCCGACTTTACAGAGCATGTTAATCTTTTCACTCTAAAGATGAAAAGAAAGGAATTCTGATTGATAATAGTAAGTCGACCCATCTCTGCAAATGTAATATGACTAATGATAATAAGAATAATGGAAAGAGAACGTACACCATATGACTAAATGTTTTTATACCCAGTTTTGCACTGATTTCTGTTCCAGGGCCGTAGCATGGAGACGGGCTAACCTGGATCGATCTTCTAGTAAGGCAGGTTGATATATCTTGCCATTATATTGTAACCTATTGCCCTTTGGTGAGACAGGGCGATGCCATGGGTTAGGGCTAACTTACGCTTCCTTTTAGCTATAAAACTCTTTTTATTCTTTTTTTCTCTCTTATCGTTCTCTTCACCTTTTCTGTCTTCTCTCTCTCTTTTTCTCTCATTCTCCCTCTTTTCTCTTTATCTATCTATCGATTAATATCAACACATATACCTTTTTCTCCTGTCTCTCTCGCTGTGTCTTTCTATCTCCCTTTGTTTCCTTCTCTTTGAACATCTTTTATCTAATAGAATGATCAACTTTACATGGGTCAGCAATGTTGTTTTAAGGCGTACATGAATGGTTCTTGCTGCAACTCTTTTCTTAGTATAACCTGCCCACTCTATTCACTTATTCTTGTATGCGAGAATGTTGATACAAATCTAAAATGTTCACAACTGCCCCATAACACAGTCATACTCAATAAAAAAAAGAAAAAAAAAGCGAGTAATTTAACTTATAATGTAAATAGTCTTGCTACAGTTGGTAATAATATGTCGATCGAAACAATACTTGCATAGAATTTCCGATAATTTCTTATATACAATGTGGCTATCTTTTTTCTTTCATTACAGAAAAAGTGAGAGCTTAGACTGTCAAACTGGTATTGATTTCGTGTTTTTAGTATCAATCAAAACACAGAGATTGCAACAGACTGCTACAAATTACTAAGAAAAAACTAGTATTTACTGTGTTTATCTATCTATTAATATATTATCTATCTATTAATATGTTAAGTTCAAATCACTAAAGTTTTGTCTATGTTGATACATACATACATACATATATATATATATATGTATGTATATGTAAATATATATGCATATATATATATATATATATATATATATATATATATATATATATATATATATATATATCTATATCTATATATCTATATCTATATCTATATCTATATCTATATCTATATATATATATATATATATATATATATATATATATATATAATTTTATTTTTTTATTTTTTTTATTTTATTTTATTTTTTTATTTATCTATTTATTTATTTTTTCTCAAAACCTAATGTAAACTTAACAGAACCCCCCAGATACTCATGCACTGATATCCCACTTTAAACCACTCCCTCTAACCTGCAATTGCTCCTCGGAAAAATGATCAGGCACACATTACGGGATGACAGTTAAAAAAGAAAGAAAGAAAGAAAAAAAAACACGGCATATATTTTCTCCTTTCGTTTTTTAAGAGATCAATCATGTTTCACTTTGAAAAGGGAGAAAAAATAAAATAACAAAATAAATAGATAGATAAGAATACAGATTTGTAAATAGATATATGAATAAATGAGTAAATATATAAACAAACAGATATGTATACAATTGAACAGATAGATAAACAAAAAACTTAATAGATTAATGGATACATAAACCACTAACTAAAACGATAAACCAATAAACACACGAAAAAAATAAAACAATAAATTAATGATTAATTAGGCAAACGAATAAAAAGAGAGACAAATGATTAAATACAAACATAAACAAAAGCCTTGTTAAACAAATAATCAAGGTAACGACAATCTAATTTGGTATTTTTATTAAGATTACTTGTTGATGAATGCGAAGTAGATCCGGTACGTAAGATAACAAAGAAATCCGAAGAAAAGAAAAAAAGAAAGGAAAGAAAAGAAAAGAAAAGAAAAGAAAAAAACAAAACAGAACAATAGCTCCGTATAAACTTTCTCTTTCTCTCTTTTTCTATTTCTCTCTCATTTTTTTCTCATTCTGTTTCTTTTCCTTCCGTTTTTTTTTCTCTTTCTATTTCTCTCTCTATTTCTCTCTCATTCTCTTTCTCGCTCTTTCTATTTCTCTTTTTCTCTTTCTCTTTCTCTTTTCTCTCTTTCTATTCTCTCTCTTTCTATTCTCTCTCTTTCTATTCTCTCTCTTTCTATTTTCTCTATTTCTATTTTCTCTCTTTCTATTTTCTTTCTAATTTTCTCTCTTTCTATTCTCTCTCTCTCTCTCTCTCTCTCTCTCTCTCTCTCTCTCTCTCTCTCTCTCTCTCTCTCTCTCTCTAAGATCCTTTTTTTTATTTGAAAATGGAGATTAAATAGCGAAAGTTTATTTTTGGATTTTTTTGTTGTTAGCAAATTTTCAAAACTCATTAACTGGATAATGGTATTCTTAGAAATATGGCGGTAAACGGTTGACAATGAAAGAGTAAACAGAGAAACGGAACGAATAGAAAGATAAATGAAAAAAGAAAAACTCGAAAGGAGGACAACATTGGAAATGAAAAGAAAGAAAAATAACAAATGTTCGAAGATAAACATAGAGTAAAAAAATATGGTAAAAAGACGAAAATACAGACAGAGAAAAGGGACAAAGACGAAGACAACAGCGAAGACAAAAAGAGAGAAAAAGAAAACGACGAAGAAGAAAAAGAAAAGGAAGCGACGAGAGAGAAAATAAAAATAATGATGAAAAATAGACAGAGAAAAGAAGAAGAAGAAGAATACGACAAAGAAGATTAAGAAGAAAGAGACAAAGGAAAAGAAGAAGCAGACGAAGAAGACAAAGAAGAAAAAGAAGAATACGATAAAGAGGAAGAAGAAGAAGACAAAGAAAATGAAAAAGAAGAAGATGAAGACCAAAAAAAAGAAGAAGAAGAAGAAAGAAAAAGAAGACAAGAAGAAGAAGAAAGAAGACCAAAAAGAAAAAGAAAACAAAAAAGGAAGAAGAAAAAGAAGAATACGACAAAGAAGAAGACGACGAAGAAGACAAAGAAAAATAAGAAGACGAAGACCAAAAAAAAGAAGAAGAAGAAGAAAGAAAAAGAAGACAAGAAGAAGAAGAAAGAAGACCAAAAAGAAGAAGAAGAAAAAGAAAGAAAAAGAAGACAAAGAAGAAGAAGAAGAAGAAGACGAAGAAAGAAGAAGAAGAAGAAAGAAGAAGAAGAAGAAGAAGACGAAGAAAGAAGAAGAAGAAGAAAGAAGAAGAAGAAGAAGAAGAAAAGAATATAATACACCCTTAAGTTCTTCCCAGCCAAGTCAAAGCAGAGGATAAAGCTAGACTGAAACTTTTTTCTTCTTTTGAGGAAACTTAAACATCTGAAATTTCCGCTGAGATTCTGTCTTAGTTTCGAGTCTGGAGAAGAAAGCGAAAAAGGAGAGGGAAGGACGAAGATAAGTAAGAGGAATGACGATAACTAGAAGAGGAAACGAAAGGTGAGGGAATAGATAGAGGGAGGAAGAAAAAAGGAGGAGGAGGAGATAGATCAGTGGGAAAAAGTAGAAGAAAGCGAAAGAGGAGAGGGAGAGAAGATGATAGATAGGAGGAATGACGATAACAAGAGGAGGAAAAGAAAGTTGAGGGAACAGATAGAGGGAGGAAGAAAAAAGGAGGAGGAGTAGATAGATCAATGGGAAAAAAGTAGAAGAAGAAAGCGAAAGAGGAGAGGGAAAGAAGACGATGGATAGGAGGAACGACGATAACCAGAGGAGGAAAAGAAAGGTGAGGGAATAGATAGAGATAAGAAAAATAAAGGAGGAAGAGGAGATAGATCAATGGGAAAAAGTAGGAGAAGAGCGAAAGAGGAGGGGGATAGAAGACGATGGATAGGAGGAATGACGATAACTAGAAGAGGAAAAGAAAGGTGAGGGAATAGATAGAGAGAGGAAGAAAAAAGGAGGAAGAGGAGATAGATGAATGGGAAAAAGTAGGAGAAAAAGCGAAAGAGGAGAAGGAGAGAAGATGATAACTAGGAGGAATGACGATAACTAGAATAGGAAAAGAAAGTTGAAGGAATAGATAGGGGGAAGAAAAAAAAGGAGAGGAGGAGATAGATCAATGGGAAAAAAATAGGAGAAGAAAGCGAAAGAGGAGAGGGAGAGAAGACCATGGATAAGAGGAATGACGATAACTTGAAGGAGATGGAAAATATGACAAAAAGGAGAGAGAATTACCAGAGACAAGAGAAAATAAGGTGAGAGAGAAGATAACTAGAATGGGAAAAAAATAAGAAGAGAGAGAAGGAAGAAAAGGAGAAGATAAATAGAGAAAAAGAGGAGAAAAAGAAGGAGAAAAAAAACAAAGGAGGAGTGAGAATAACTAGAAAAAGAAAGAATATATGAAAAAGAAAGAAAAGATAACTAGCAGGAGACAGAATAACGACAGATTAGGGAAGAAGGAAAGGAGAAGTAGGAAAACATAATAAGGAAAACACAGAATGAACAGAGGGAGAAAAATAACAATAAAAAGAATAAGAACATAGAATAGAATTGAAAGAAGAAAGGGAAGAAAGTAATCAGGAAACAGGATGAATAGAAGGAGAAAGAGAAAAAAATAGGTGGAGGGTGAGAGGAGAATGAGAAGATAGAGAGATAAGAAACATAGAAAAAAATGAAAATTA